CTACAGGCTTACATCTTTCCAAGCCAACACTTGGATACAAATATGAGTTCTAACTCAAATACAAATAAAGCCCTTGGCTTGATTATTTATCAAATGAAAACAAACAATTAAAGATAGTCTTCACAATCCAAATCTTCCAAGCTAAGTCCTGGGAGGTAGCTTATCACCTGGACCTGAAAATGATTTCCCATAAAGGGTGAGCCACAGCCTAGTAGAAAATTACTAAACCAAATATAAGCATTGAATAAAGCAATAGCATTCAATAGATGGTTAACCAAGATAATCAATTTCAACCATTTTACAGTCTCATAACTCTAATGTCAATGACACGTTCCACTTTCCAACATTATCAATATGGCTCAGAACCCGGCCCAAACTTACAGCAGTGCATTATAAACATCATATTCATCTTCTTCCTATGCCAACAAACAAATGAGACTCAGCCCAAATCAAGCACTTCATACTTCCAGATTGATACACATTTTAGTGTTGTATCAATAAAAACACTTCTTATATAATAAGCCACATAAAAGTGTGCTAATGGAGTCCATCCCCTATCTCCTCCCAACAAAATCCGGTTTAGAGGTCCATCCCCTATCTTCCCTAAACCGTGGAGTACATCCCTATCTCCTCCCACACAAAACAATGTATGCAAATGCAATGCTCAATACTACACGTATTTTCTGTTAATGCAATAGTCAAACTTAATGACTTAACCAATGTGATTAGTTTCAGTTATTCCTAATCCAATGCAATGTCTACAACAATCACGACTATCCTCCACCGATAGCCCAAAACAGTTATTTCTAGACTGGAAATAAATATATCAACAATTCATGGGGAGTGATTTACATTATCCACTACACCATTTAAGCAATAATTTCCCAATTTCAAGAATTTAACCAAATTCCCAATTCCCTTAAATTAATTATACAAATTAATTAATTTAAACAACTAGGGTTTTCCAAAATCACCAAAGTACCCAACATAGCAAAATACTAAAACTTAGAACAAAACTTATAAGATGGAAAATGGAGTAGGAAATCCCTACCTCGAAGAGAGTAACCCGAATGGAGAAGATGGAGATGAATGCCCAAACTCCAAAGTGCTCCAAACTACCAACAATTCAGATTAAATGGAAGCCCTCGACCCACTCTATCTTTTTAATAAAGGATCTAAGGTAGAAACTCACTCTAAGTAGATCAATCCTAAGAGAGAAGATGCGTAGAGGGAGAGAGAACTCGTACCTAGGGTTTTGGAATCTGAAAGGGAATGAAAAACTGATCTGAAACACGTTGCTGCCTATTTAAACCTGACAGGCTCGCTCGAGCGAAGACTTCTTCGCTCGAGCGACCAGACACAAAGAAACTACGCTTGAGCCAAGGAAGCCTTGCTCGAGCCAACAACCCAAAAGCTCGCTCGAGCGAAAGAAAACTCGATCGAGCGAAGAATTCAAACCCTCAGGTCTGTAACCAGACTCACGCTCGAGCGAAGAAACTATCGCTCGAGCGAAGACCGAACTAACTCGCTCGAGCGAAGAAAAGCTCGCTCGAGCCAAGAATGCACAGCTACAGGTCCAAAATCAGACGCAACCTCTCGCTCGAGCGAAGAACCAAAAACCTGGATAGCAACACTTGGTTTCTAAACCCAACCAACCTGAAACAAACCTGCCCAACACATCCTATAATTCCAAATGAGAAAATAAGGGACAACAACAACAACAACAATTATACAATGACAGAATCTACGGAACCTAAGTCCGGATACAATAATTAAACGGGAAAAGACCGGGGTCGCTATAACACAAATTGACTACCACTTACGAGAACCATGGTGACGAGTAAGTATGACATCGTTATTTTTCAAAGTTTCGATTTTTTGTGTATGTTAAACGAAATGTGGTTTTCCCGTGCAAGGTAATCATATGGGTTGGCATGAAAGAAGATGTTTTTGTGTATTTTTCCGACATTCGCAAATCTAGTCCGCCCGGTTGGAGTTAGAGGAAATGTAGGTGCTTTCAAAATGTTATCGACTACCTAATGAAATGTAACATGTGCATATTACCACAAATATGGTGTTGTGTAGATGCTGATATGTATGCCGATTAATGGTAGGTTATTCACGCTTGTGCTGAGCTATTATTGAGCGAACAAGACATGTTGGCAGCAGTGGCAGAATTCCCAGAGAAGTGGTACTTCTTCACAAGCATATGCTTGGTAAGGAGACTACGTGGTTCATGTTATGTTTGTGGTTCATACTATCCCATTTATGTGGTTGGTTTGGAATGTTTTTATGTTGTGCAGGACATGGCGAAACACACAAGCATAACGTCGAGGGATAAGTATATGGAGACACACATGCGAGCTGCTGGTGATGTTAGGTATATCCATTTCCCAATGTGTTTCAAATCACACTAGACGCTAGTTGTTTACAACACCAAAGATGGCGTTTGGAAACATTACAATTCTTTGAGACCACGCAATAGAGGCGAAGACATACACTACAAAGAGGCGTTGTTTTTGGTACATTTGTGTAATTTTAAAAGTAATTATAGGGTTACCAGGGTTGCTCAGAGCTCTTGATTGGCCATTTGTTAGGACATGGTGACATGTTTTTATTGGTGATGTGTTTCCCATTTTGTTGATTGTTTGTGCCGCAGAAAGAGCAAGTGTTGAACTATGTGCGACAGACACGTTAGGCATCATCACATAGAGATGTGGTTGGTATGCAGAATGGAGATGGAATTATTGAATCTATCATGGATTGCCCCCAACAGCGTCTAGATATGTACATTGACATGCCTTTTTTGTTACGGCATTTATTCACCGTTTTCATTATTGGATACCATATTTACTATGTTGCTTGTTTGAATCTTGTTTGCTATTATTCACAGTCCGGACTGTGCAATTATTGTGTACTACATTATGCGGCAGTATGTACATCACATTTTAATCGAACGTACAATGAAAGAAACTAATTGCATTGGTGCACGTGCCGCTATGGTGAGGGCTTTTGTGGGTGACCCTGTTCGTGGGCTGAAAGATGGTTTGGACGACAATTATGGCTAACATTTGATATATTGTTTCAGTAATGACACATGTTTCGCTTTCTTATATTTGGTTGTGGATAGTTTTGATGTGATAATTTAATGGTAGTGTTTTTGGGATTTTGTATTTACGTTGCATTTCGTTTTGGTATGGATCGACCGTATAATGAAATTGATTAGGTTTAAGACAATGTGGTTGTGAATATGTTAGTGTGTTGTTTATTGTTGTTCGTGTCATGGTTCAAAGGTTACATACTATAGGTTGCATACACGTTATTGTTCGTATATTGGTGTGCGATATGTGTTTTTTAGTGTGGATTTTGGTAAAGGCGCTATGCTCGTATTGTGACTATTAATTTGACATGAAGGTTAGATATTGTGCCCATTTGTGCTTCCCCAAAGTTGTGTTGGTACGAAACTGGTTAGTATGGGGCGATGTTGCAGTGTTTTGCAAACTGAAAACGTTGAAGTGTGTCCATATGTGGCATGTGATGTTGTTAACGGTAATATGCATCCTTTGTGAATATATGAAGCGTTGTGGGTTCAATGTTTTTAATGCGTGTCAGCATGTGGCAGTCTTGTTGCATACATATTACACATATAAATGCTTGTGCATGTTTATATTCTATAGAAAATGCTTATGCATGTTTATGTAATTTGAAACGGACGGACGTGGTTGCAAGAAGGTATATGTATATACTCAATTATGTTTGATCATTGTATGGATTAATTTGATATTGTTGTATGAAACTTGTTGAACGTAATGGTCACAAACGTGACTAATGATGTTCGGCGAGGTTGTGTTATTTTTGGTACGGATGATATGACACTGTGGAGTTAAATTAAATGTGAAGAGTGTTCATGCGTGTGCACGGCATCATAAAAATGAATTTACTACATATTGGGTGTGGATGTGTTGCGTCTGGGTTTGAACCTAGGATGATGCACTATTTTTAACACTTGTTTAATGTAATGAGTTTTTAGACGGAAACGGAGAAAATATTCATAAAATGATCGTGCTGTGGAACATAGATGGTACAAGTGTTATGTGGTAACTGAACCCGGGGTGACTCTGAACCAAACCCAAAAGGAGTCCCTATAATTATTATAAAATGAGCTAAGCAACTACTGGTGGAACTACACCAAACATCAAATGTTTTACTATCTAAAATGTAAGTAATATGAATTTAAACATAATTACATGACAACTCCATCTTAGAAAGTGAAGCTACATTGGTTCCGTGCACGTCGTCCTGTTATGATTCCCCATTTGGCCGCATCTCCCACATCGGATTTGTTGCACTTCCTCCTCTTATGACAGTATCCTCTTCTTCTTTGGCCTCTCGGTTGGTCGGCGAACAGTGGAAGGGAATATGACAAATTTATCTAGGGTGATTTTTGGTTTCTCAACTGTTGGGATTGAGTATGTGTGAGAATATGACGCTCGGTAGTTGACAACATGGAGATAGGGATCAACTAACCCATTCAAATCTGCGTCGCTATTTTGGATAACAACCATTGCGTGTTCACAAGGCAACCTATTTATCTACCATTGAAAACATGAACATGAACGTTTCCCAATATCTACCAACGTAGATGGGTGTGAGTGGACCTTGTATACGTCATTGTTTGGTTGGCTGACTATCCATAATCTACCCTTCTTTTATGCCTTATCCAACTTGGACTCCATTTTCAGACATATTATTCCAGTCCATGTGCTAGATGCACCCCGACGATTCGCCAGTTGATTCATTATCTGTATTCTGATCGCGTAAACCAACCTAGTGATCGGTAAATGTTATGCTTCCTTTATGCAATTGTTGAATGATTCAACTGCATTGGATGACATCTCTTTGTACCGATTGCCCCTGCGTAGTCGTGTGAAAATGTTAGGTATGCGAACTAATTTTTAAACAGTGATGTGGATGAACAAAACTAGCCAAAGGCCGATCAATTAATATCTGAAATATGCATTGACCCAATGACGTGGATCCAAATCCTTTAGAAAATTTATTGCAAAATGGCGGCCAGAATGTGTAAATTCTTCCAATTTTTGGTTGAAGTCAGCCACCGTTGATGCGTACGCGCATTGACGGAGTTTACTAACCAATCCCAGACGATATGGATGGTTGACATACTTCATTTTGTCTTTCAAATTCCTTTGTAAATGTTGCATACAGAATGCGTGGTGTGATGTGGGGAATATAACTGGTATGGATTCCAAAAGGCCAACATGACGATCCAAAACAAACGTTAACGACCGAGACCCATCAACTATGTTGGCAAGATTTTGTAGGAACCATTTCCAATTTGATGCATTCTCCGAATCAACAATCACAAATGCCATTGGAAATAACCCTGCAAGACATAAAATCAAAATAATAAAAAGTGTGTGTATGTCACTTCCATTGTTAGATTTCCCATACGTTACCAACCCACATAACTCAACACACATGCACGTCACTCCATAGCAGCCCCTGTGTTGTAAAGAAATGGGAACATTATAGCATGGTAATTAAAATGGTAACAACACATAACCTTTGTTCCCATCTTTAGCAGTAGCGGTGAGCAAGTTGCCCTTGAATCTTTCTTTCAGAAAAGTACCATCCAAAAACAGTAGCAGGCAACAATAATTGAACCGGGCTATACATGCTTTGAATGATATGAAAAGCCTATTGAACCGACGTTTGTTGCTCGCATCGAACTCTAGATTTACATAACTTCTCGGATTGTATTCCATAACGGCATTGCTATACCACCGCAATTGGTCAAACAAAGTGGAATGATCATCGAAAAGTTCACCTCTCGCCTTCTCAACACCTAACCAAGCTACGTGATAACTAACTTGCAAACCATAATCTTTCTGAGAATGGAACTTGACATTCGTTGGGCGAGTCAACAGTTTTTCACGTATACGTTCTGCCATGACATCAACAACCAGTTCGGAACCCATAACAGGATTATTTACAGTCCGCATAGCAACCCCGCATGTATGCCTGCTGTTTCATTTCCTCAAATAAAAAAAGCCATTCACATTCATCCCTCTAGCATGGATAGACCATGGGCATCCCCTTGACTCATTAAAAATGCACACCGCCATAATTTTAACCGAGTCATTTTTCTTAAACTTAAATTGGAACCTACATTCAATAGCATATTTGCTGAGAACTTTTTGAAATTTTGCTGCCCCTCTTTGAAAACACTGCCCTACATTGTTGATGCCAAATGCCCATGATTCCAACAACAACACCCTCCGTGTATGCATGCAAAAATTGGGTAACAAGTCAACATGTTCATCAACATTATCTGTCATATCATCTACCCCCCCCAGATATACGTCCGAGTTGTTCGTTATCACTGACGGCCCGGTGACATTTGTCCCCTGATAACTCCTTGCACAACTCCACAACGACGTCAACGTGGTCCACCCGGAAAGACCTGGCAAGGCACATCATGTTTTGGAAATCCAATTCGTTTTCCATGTTGAATTTATTGTACCCGACAATCCTGAAAAACATAGACACCGAACCGGGACACAGCCCCCCGAATCATTCACAAAGATGATTAACAAGTCTACCATATGTGAATGTCGCGTCAACCTTGACGGCAACGTTATTACCACCATACAAACACAACAACATTAAATTATCCCCCATACCTGCAACTGAAAACAACAACATATGCGATTAAACCTTTGAAAAACAAATACAAATGACATTGACTTACGGAGAACCAAATATAATCCCTCCACCCCATCTAGTTCCCTTCATATTCACATCACATCTGACCACACAGCACATCCCCATCCCCATCCCCCACACACGCCACTATTGTAAAAAAACATGCAACCATAACACCAAAAACATTACCTGTGTGCAATTACGATCACCAATTGCTTTCATTCGCTGTCTCTCAGTGAAAAATCCATGCACAAATAATCTTTAAGGTTTGATACACTATAACCACACACACACGCAGCCTTCAAATACATATAGAAGATTGTGCCCCCACAAAAATCGTCCTTCACCACCCTGTAGACACCCCATTTTTGACCGACCTTGAGACTCAGACGTCACCAGTTGAGCACTCGGTGATTTTGCATAATGTGCTCGTTCAGAAGTCTCAGAGTCGCGACCGTGAGCCCTGCCTCCGGACTTTCGAACCCTCTTCTGTGCCTTGCCTCAGTTTGCGAACCAGACTCGGTTTTCTCTGTTTCTTTTCCCGGGGGGAGGGAGAGGTCCTATAGACCATCTCTCAGTGGCCATGGGCTACATTTTGTGGCCGCAGGTCATTTTGCCCATTTCGGAGTCCGATTTTCGGTTTTTTGGGATCGTTGGCCATGTGCCCCGGTTCGGGACCGCTTAACCATCTCCATTTGCTCTGATTTTTGGCATACATCTTATTTTCTCCCTTTTGAGGGACACTGGGGTCTGAGAAACCCACTTCGTGGCCGAACGCCACTTTCGGTGCTTAGCAGCCCATTTTCGGGACCCCGAACTGCGTGTTTTGGCCCCCGAGCATTCGTTTTGCATCGGTTTTCGTTCATTTTTGGCAGGTACCTCTGTTTTATCACCAGAAAGGTCACTGAAGGGTGGGAGGCCAGCAATTGTTGCAGCAACCAGTTATACATCCTCCGACGCCCTCCGGCGCCCGTTTTTCGCACTTCCGGGCTAATGTTGAACACCTTGGGCCCACTTTCTTGAACTTTGAACCACATATTTGTGATGTACACACATGAGAGGACCCTAAAAGTTCATGGCCGGCCACTAATTCCAATTGACCCTTTTGAACCCCTCCTTCCGAGCCATGTTACACCTTGGGCCACTTCTCTGCAACTCTTTGAACCATATTTGTTGTTGACACACATGGGAGGACCTAAATATTATGGCCAGCCTTAATTCCATTTGACCCTTTTGACCACTCCTAAATTGGCTTTTGCTCTCTCGCTGTTTTAGAGAGTTTACCAAAATTCGAACCACGGGTTGTGAAGAGGGACACTGGGGAGCCACAAATGTGGTGCCAGGCCACTATTTCAAGTGACCTTTTTGACCCCTAGTCCTGGCCGGATGACTAGGGGTGGCCGCACGGCCACTGCAGCAAAAGTAAGGGCCGGCCTGCTTCCTCTCAACTTGCACTTTACAGCTGTGCAGCTGTTTCCCCCAGAAAATATCCCAATCCGGGGGATATTTTGTGGGGGAAAGCTTACCTCCTTTTTGCCCCACCTTTACACCCTCTTTTTGTCCATATAACCAGCTGGTGGCATCACATTTGGGGGTTGGAAAATTTGTTCTTCAAGCCTCAAAATCCATATCTCCCTCCATCCTTCTCATTTTCTTAAAAAACCTTAAGTCCTACATCTTATTTTCTTCATCACCACCAAG